TAGACACATTTGTTTCTTTGCTGTCAGTTATAAGGATGACAGTGGTTAACAATGAGCAAAGTCCACATTTTGATTTTAAATACTATTTTCCAAAAAAGCAGACAACATTCCTCCCGCTTCATCTCAGGGCTAAAGCAGAAAATATACAGGATAAGCCTTGAGTTATCTTTAGTGTCATAAAAGAAATATTAGGGAAAAAAAATATTTCCCTGTGTCAGTAGTATGTCAAAGGGATATGGGATATAATAAAAAAGTGTTTCTATAACCAAAGCTGAGATAATCTGGCACCAAATGGCACAGAGTAGCTAGGGACACCACTCACAACAACCTGCAATGCTCTGAGTTTAATCTCCAACACCAACAAAATAATAATGGAGTAGGGGCTGAGGAGATGTCTCAGTGTGTAAAGTACAAACATCAGGACTTTAATTCAGGTCCCTAGCACCCCACCCCTACCCCCACCAAACCACATGTGAAATTCCAGTCTTAGGAGATAGAGACAGAAGAATCACAGGGGCTCAGTGACTATCCAATGTGGTCAACTGGTGAACTCCAGCTTTAGTGAGAAATGGTCTCAAAAAATAAGGTAAGGTGGAAAATGTGATAGAAGAAAATACTCATTGTCAACCTTTGGCTTCTACTAGCACATACAGATGTTCAAACATATGCACACACATGTGCACAAACACATAAATACACTACAGGCACAAACACACAAATAAGCAATGAGCCAAAGACAAAATAAATACCTATGAGTCAAAACTCTACTACTATAAATGACTCAATAAGCCAGCACTCAGGAGGCCAAGACATGCAGAGCTCTGTGAGTTCTAGGCTAGCTTTGTTTACATAATGAGTTCTTAGCCAGCTAACAGCTACATAATGAGACCCTGACTCAACAAAAGAAAAAAAAAGGCATAAATAAATACATGGGGTGGGGAATCTCTGGTATAGGTAATTCCATATAATTTGTGGAAACATTGTACTGCCAAGGAGAAGAAACATTAATTGTTTACTCTTTGGATGTGGGCTACACAGAATTATTTTCCATAGGAGAAACCTGACATGCTATTTTAATCAGGTGACCAAAGTCATTGTATATGGTCATTGCACATACCCTTGATACAATGTAATAAAAACAATATTTTATCTTTTGTGTTTTTCTCTTCCCCCCACACACATACACAAAAACCCTAATCTAATCATAAGAAAAGTATCAACTGAGGGACTTTCTACAAATACCTGACCAGTATGTATCAAAACTATCTGTCAACAAAAATAGGAAAGCCTATGGCTGGAGTGATGGCTCATTGATTAAGAGTATACATTGCTCTTCCAGAAGATGCTGGCAGTTCACAACTGATTGTAACTCCAGCTTTAAGGGTTCTGATATCCTTTTCTGACCTCCTTGGGCACCTGTACACACCCACCCACCACCCCAAAATAAAATAAATCTTGTACACACACATACCAAAATAAAATAAATCTTAAAAAAAAAGTCAGTCCAAGATTAGTAACTTCTAAAATGTAATGAATGATGACAACAGGTAAAAACAAGGGCAACCTGAATAAAATATTCTAACCTTTATTCAAAAAACGTTAGAATCTAAGTGGAATGAGTCATTCTCTATCCAAGCCATTTTAAGTTTTTATTAGGATAGAGAAATACTACTACATGCATTTCAGTCTCCTGTTTCAAGCCATCACCAAGTAATAGAGTTGCTTATAGGTATTTAAATTGCCTAGAAATGCCTTTTTTATTATTTTTTCCACTTAAAGGAGGCATTTCTTTCGTTTTGTATAATTTATTTTTACTTTATGTGCAGTAGTGTTTTGTTTGCAAGTGTGTCTATGTGAGGTTATTGGATCCCCTAGAACTGCAGTTATAGACAGTTGTGAGCTGACATGGGTGCTGGGAATTGAACCTAGGTCCTCTGGAGAGCAGCCAATGCTCTTAACTGCTGAGTCATCTCTTCAGCCCAAACTAAGTATTCCTGTAACTTAAAATGTTAGCTCTAACACAAATGTCACATCACAAGCTAGAACTGAAGCAGCACACTAAAACCCTACAAGGCCACAGAGACAAACGAGAAGCTCCAAGGACAGTAGGTGGCACCTGGAACTTTTTGTAATCAGCTCTACTGTGGGCTCCAGAAAGCAGCTCATTCTAAATTCTGCCATTCAGAAGGTAATGCCTTAGCCTTAGCATGACTCTAGTTTATAAGTTTATATGAGTTATTAAATTCCCAATATATTTTGCCACAACTTCTAGCTATAAAATGCAAGTAAAAGTAAGAATAGTACAGGGCTGGAGAGATGGCTTAGAGGTTAAAAGCACTGGCTGCTCTTCCAGAGGTCCTGAGTTCAATTCCCAGCAACCACAAGGTGGCTCACAACCATCTGTAACGAGATCTGGGGCCTCTTCTGGTGTGCAAGAATATATGCAGACAGAACACTGTACACATAATAAATAAATCTTTTTTTTATTTTTATTTTTTTAAAGAAGAAGAATAGTGTGCTGGATAGTTTTGTGTCATCCTGACACAGGCTGGAGGGAACCTCAATTGGGAAAATGCCTCAATGGAATTGGGATGTGGGCAAGCTTGTAGGGCATTTTCTTAAGTTAGTGACTGATGGTGGACATTCTGGGCGCTATCATCCCTGGGCTGGTGGTCCTGAATTCTATGGGAGGACAAACTGACCAAGCCATGAGGAGCAAGCCAGTAAGCAGCACTCCTCTGTGGCCACTGCATCAGTTCCTGCCTCTGAGTTCTTGCCCTACTTAAGTTCCTGTCCTGACTTCCTTAATGATAAACTATGATATGGAAGTGTAAGCTAAATAAACCCTTTCCTACCCAAGTTGCTTTGGTGTTTCATCACAGTAATAGTAACCCTAACTAAGACAAACAATTTATCATTTAGAAGTAGTTTTTTAAATATTTATTTGGATTTATATGTATGTGTATCTATGCATATATGTATGCAGGTGCCCAAAGAAACCAGAAGAGGGCCTCTGGAGCTGGAGTTACGGGCACTTGTGAGCTACCCGACTTAGGTGTGGAGAACTGAACTCAGGTCCTCTGTCAGAACAGCAGAAGTGCTCCTAGCTATTGAGCAGCTATCTTTCCAGGCCGAGAAGGAACTTTTAAAATTGTATTTATTTTATTACTTTATGAGTGTTTTGCCTACATGTACGTAACATGTACCACGTGTGTGCCTGGTGCCTTTGGAAATCAGAAAAGGGTATTGGATCCCCTAGGACTAGAGTTATAGACAGTTATAAACCATTTGGGTGCTAGGAATCAAAACAGGGTCTTTTATAAGAACGAGTGCTCTTAACCATCAAGCTGACTATCCAGCCTCCCCAGAAGGAATTTATGGTGATATTTTATTTGTGCTGAAATGTGATTTTATTTGTATGTTAATAAATAAAGTTGCCTGGGGGTCAGAGCTAATAGCAAGCCATTTAGCAGAAGTCTGGCAGTGGTAGCACACGCCCTTAATTCTGATCACATGGCAGGCAAAGTCTGTGTGTTCAAGAACATAGCCAGCTTGGTGACACATGCCATTAATCCAAGTACCAACCATAGAGACCTGGAGGTCTGTATAGATAGGCAGTGACGAAGAAGTCATGTGGTTGGGTTTAGAACCAATGAGAAGGCAGAACAGAAAGTCAATAAAAATACAGACACACAGGAAGTAGGTCTCTTTTCTCAGGGGAAGGATGGCAGCAGCTGGTAAGCTAAAGGCTATTCGCTAGTGCTCTGACCTCTTGGGCTTTTAACTCTTTATTTGGCTCTGTGTTTCTTACTTAATAAGATTGTTTAGAATTACATCTACAGGAATTTTTAAAAGAACATTCATATGTATTTAAGGAACAATAACAGATGTGAACAAATCTGTTATGTGTCAAAATTACATTACTCTAGCAGATATGTTATAAAAAAATTACAGGTTCTAGCCAGGCAGTGGTAGCTCACACCTTTAATCCCAGCACTTGAGAGGCAGAGCCAGGCAGATCTCTGTGAGTTTGAGGCCAGCCCGATCTACAGAGCGAGATCCAGAACAGGCACAAAAACTATATAGAGAAACCCTGTCTCGAAAAACCAAAAACCATCCCCCCACCCCAAGAAAACCATTACAGGTTCCAGTGACCCATCTATGGTTCTCTAATCAGCATGTGGGATTCAATCATCTGTTACTAACAAACGAAACTGGAGATCAATGTACACCAGTATATGCTCTCAGTTATGTTCTAGTGGGGACAGTAAACACAACAAAATTAAAATGATCAGTTTGAGGGCTAGTGGGATAGTTCAGAATATAAAGGTGCTTGACAGCAATCCTGTCAACCTGAGTTTGATCCCAGGACTCACATGATGGAAGGAGAGAACCAACTCCTACCATTTGTGCTCTGACCTCCGCCTGCATTTACATGCACACATACACATACATAAATGTGCTTTAAAAAGAAATAAAAGTAAAAGTTAGTTTGGGCTAGGGATGGAGCTTGGTGGCAAAATGCTTGCCAGGTAAGCACAAAGCTCTGAGTTCAATCCATAGCACCTCAACAAACAAATAAAATCATCAGTGTGTCAGAAATGATGGTAACAGTGATGCCTACATTAGTCCCCTCCTCTCTGAGAACAGAAGTCTTACTCAAGAACTAACTGCAACAGCCCAAGCAGAGTCAATTCAGACATTACAACCACCACCCGTTATTAGATTTGAAACACCAACACAGGAGATCCCCAACTTTTCCAGAAGGAAGAAACGTCAAAGAGTCGGCAAGCAGCTTAGGGACACCTCTAAGAACTCATTTTCCCTTCCGTGGCATTGTAAGGGACTAGCCCTAGAAACAGACGCATACTGTATTTTTGTGAAACTGTGGCAGTGCTCCTTTTTATAAAATAAAGGAGTCACTTACAGAGCAACAGTAGGTAAGGGTTTACAGCACTGAAATACTAGATGAGGAAAAACGGCAATCTGATTGTACTTACAGGAGTTGTGCCGACGACGGAAGCTTTTGGACTGACTCAAGGATTCCATGTGCCTGTCCACATAACTCTTCGAACACTGCTGCTGCTGAGGGGAAACGGCAACATCCTGGCTCTTCACATCTGTCCTCTTAGGGATGTTCTGAGGGGTACTACTGGAAGAGGTTGGCTTCTTGACCACCTTGCCTGTACCATTCTGATTGATACCCACTTGGTGCCCAACACCAGAAGGGCCTAATTCTGTCTGATGAAGGTCTCCAAACTGCTGCTTGTCTCCAGGATCTGGAATCTCCAGAATTTTCAATTCTATAATATCACCTGCCCTGAAATACACAAAAGTACAAGTCTCAAAATTATAATAGCAAGAGGAAAGTGGTAAGGATAAAACTAGGGTAATGGAAGTCAGTTACCCCTCTGCAAAGCTGCACTTCGGGGAGTTATCAGAAGTAAAAACTAGGAAAGGTAGCAGAGCATTTAAAGACAGTGCTCAGCCACCAACTTTCAACTCACACCCTACCGGCCTTTAGAGAGAAGCTGTTAATAACAAAACTCTATAGCCATCTTAGATTTTTAAGACTGTTAGTGGCTTTTAAAAATTCTTTCACCCACTTGCTCATTCAACAAGCACATATAGTGTCCTAACCATGTGGTAAGCCCTGGGCTAGGAGCAGGACATACACAAGTACAGTACACACTTATAAACAACTCAGTCTAAGCACTGGAAAAGACAAATGTAAACAATCAAGTGTCAAATGCCAAGACAGAGATAAGCATAGGGCACTAGAGAGCCCAGAAACAAAATACATGAATTCAAACTGCATATGAACGATTTAGGCTATATCTAGGGTGTACACGGTAGGAGAGGGTAAAGGTGGATCAAGTAGAGAGCAGTAGGGAAAAGGGCATCTCAGGCTACGAAAATGTGATGTCATCCACAGCAAGAACCTCCAATGCTGCCTACAGTGTTATATAAGAAAAGAATGCTTATAGAGGGCCATCAGGAAAATAACGTGATAACCAGGATCCAGATCATGAGTACAATGGGTTTTTCCCATGGATAGAGGGAGGAGGGAGAAACCAGCAAGGCATTGTGGCTCCTGCCTAGAGCCCTACATCTAGGAGGCAGAGGCAGGATCACCACAATTCCGAGGCTAGCGTGGCTTACATAAAGAGTTAAAAGACTGCCAGGACTACATAGACCTTGTCTCAAGAGTCAGAAAGGATCCTTATTCTTTTTTTAAAGTTCTCTCCTGCCATATGGCTGTCTGCTACCACGTGGAAGAGATCCATGCTGGCAACTCCAATGGCATGGCTTTTCCCCTTCTTTCTTCCATCTTTCTTTACTGGATAGCTGCTGAGATAGGGATTTTCTTTCAAACTCTAATAAAAGCATCCTCTCAAGCTCATATTTGGGGAAAAATTTTATTATGATTCTTAAATTTTCTTAAGATTTTTTTTTTTCTTCAAGTCTGGACATGGTGACACATGCTAACAGATCTCTGAGTCCAAGGCCAGCCTGGTCTACATAGTGAGTTCCAGGCCAGCCAAGTCTACATTTTTGAGACCCTTGTCTCAAGTTGTAGAAACAGAGTAGTTGTATTATGAAAACAAAGACTTTCAATATTTTCCTGTCATTTCTCAGTATGTAAATATCAAATTAGCTAATCTCCAAATTGTATAGTGTTACAAATTTGACTCTAAAGGTTGCTGCTTGAGTTACTAACAAGTTTCATTGAAAAAAAAAAAAAAAAAAGTCAGGTGGTAGTGGCTCATACCTTTAATCCCAGCACTTGGGAGGCAGAGGCAGGCAAATTTCTAAGTTCCAGGCCAGCCTGGTCTACTAAGCAAGTAGTAGCAAACCCTGCCTCAAAACACACACAAAAAAAGTTGGGCTGAAGAGATGGCTCAATAGTTAAGAGCAACTATGGCTCTTGCAGAGGACTTGAGTTCTATTCCCAGCACCCACATATCAGCTCACAGCTGTCTGTCACTCCAGTTCCAGGGGATCCAATGTCTCTTCTGACCTCCTATATGCACATAGTGCGGGCGCACAAGCACACACACTTGAGTACACTCACATACACATTAAAATGTTTAAATATTTTGTTTGTTTTTCAAAACAGGGTTTCTCTGTGTAGACCTGGCTAACCTGGAACTCAAGAGATTTGACTGTTTCTATCTCCCCAGTGCTGGAATTAAAGGCGTGCGTCGCCACCGCCACCACCACCAGCTAAATACATAAATTTCTTTTTCTTTTTTCTTTTTCTTTGGTTTTTCAAGACAGGGTTTCTCTGTGTAAAATCCTGGATGTCCTGGAATTCACTCTGTAGACCAGGCTGGCCTTGAACTCATAGAGATCTGCCTGCTTCTGCCTCCCAAGTGTTGGGATTTAAGGTATGTGGCACCACCACCTGGCACATAAATATTTTAAAGAAAGTTAAAATGAATTTTGGCTTAGAACAGAATTTCCAATAATTTCTGAAATGTCCCTAAATACACTTCTTCCATTTTTTGCTACACATGTGAGTTGGTATTCCCAGCACTAACAATTATAAAATCAGTGTTATCAGTTAACATGAAAAAAATGAAAATATTTTGTATAGTACAGCACCAAATATTCATCCAAGCTTGAATGTAAACTATGTTTGTTTACGTAAAAATAAACAAACACACCTAACTCATTAGCATCCAATATACTTCACATTTAATAAGTGGTAAAATTATAAGTATACCAAAGAATTATTTTAAAATTAATATCTTTATGATTGAATAGCAGTAGATATTTTGTTTGTATACCTACTTTCTAGGCCTGTACGCTATAGTTACTTTAAAATGTCTAAGAACCAGACATGGTGGCTGGCATTCTTTTAATCCCAGGGCTGGGGAGGCAGAGGCCAGCAGAACTATGTGAGTTCCAGTCCAGCCTGAGCTGCATAGGGAGACCCTGTCTCAAGAGTCTGAGAAAAAAAGAGTGTTTAAGTAGAAAAAGTTTAGAAGCTCTGGCCCAATATTAAGAAAAAAAAGACAGAACCCAGAATAAACCAATCTTTGAACTTGGGGGAAAAAAAAATCTTAGAGGCAACTTGAAGAACCAAGAGAAGGGGACACGTCTGAACTTGACAATCAAGCCGTCTGAGAGCCTGGCAAAAGATCATCTAGGCTGATGACTGAAAAACACAACCAAGGGACCAGAAAAATAAAGCTGCAAAATTGAGTAAAGGCAGATTACTTTCATCTACACCAGAGGATGGATATAAAGGGAAGAGGAACGATGGGACATGGTCTTCACCTGGTGGGAAATGGGGGAGGGGCTTCCATGAGGGGAGGGAGGTCAACTGTTAGAATACAAAAGACAGTACCACAAAGGTTGATGATCAAGACACAGAAGAGGTAAGAGAAGGTCTCGCAGGAGGCAGAGTGCATCTCCAGCACAAATGAAAGGACCAACCCAGACAGAAGAGCTACTTCCAGGGACCACAAAGGAAAGCAGTCAAGCTCAGTGACACCTGGGGTAGAGTCATGCCTCAACAGTTAAGAGCACTTGCTGCACCTGGCAGTGGTGGCACACCTTTAATCCCAGCACTCAGAGAGGCAGAGGCAGGTGGGTCTCGGAGTTTGAGGCCAGCCTCGTCTATAGAGTTCAGGACAGCCAGGGCTACACAGAGTAATCCTGTCTTGAAAAACCAAAAAAAAAAAAAAAAAAAAAAAAAAAAAAAAAAAAAAAAGCACTTGCTGTTCTTACAGAGGACTCAAGTTCAGTTCTCAGCAGCCACATTGGCCTATAACTCTACCTTCAAGGCATCTGGCCTCTTCAAGTAACTCAATATACCCCCAGACACATGTACATACACATAATTAAAAATAATCTAATAATCTTAAATAAAAAAAAGAAAAATATAGGTATTCACCCAAAAGGTTGTACAGGCATAAATACGAAGGAATTGCTCAGAAAATAAGGACGCTCACACCTGACAGCCTCATTTTGGGAATATAAATATAAGAGGCTGACTCTCAAAGTGCTGAAGATGGGAATGTGAAGATAAAAGTGGATGAGCTTGGCTGGGCGGTGGTGGCGCACGCCTTTAATCTCAGCACTCAGGAGGCAGAGACAGGCGGATCTTTGTGAGTTCGAGGCCAGCCTGTGTAGCTAGAGTTTTCCTGCCTGGCCCACAGTCAGGACAAATCTCTCACCCGCCAGTCCCACAGCCGCTCAGACCCAACCAAGTAAACACAGAGACTTATATTGGTTACAAACTGTATGGCTGTGGCAGGCTTCTTGCTAACTGTTCTTATAGCTTAAATTAATCCATTTCTATAAATCTATACCTTGCCACGTGGCTCGTGGCTTACCGGCATCTTCACATGCTGTTTGTCATGGCAGTGGCGGCTGGCAGTGTCTCTCTGACTCAGCCTTCCACTTCCCAGAATTCTTCTCCTCCTTGTCCCGCCTATACTTCCTCCTGCCTGACTACTGGCCAATCAGTGTTTTATTTACTAACCAATCAGAGCAACACATTTGCCATACAGAACATCCCACAGCAAGCCTGGGCTACAGAGCAAGATCCAGGAAAGGCACAAAGCTACACAGAGAAACCCTGTCTCGAAAAAACAAACAAACAAACAAAAAAACAAACAAAGAAAGGGGGATGAGCTCTATTGGCAAATATTAAGAAAAAACTCCCGTAACTAAGGACTTTAGTTACTGGCTACAGTGTGCTTCTGAGGATAAATCACACAAATCTACACACACATGTATGCCAAGGGGGGAAAAAAAACTGATGAGACCTTTGATATAGGAAAGCACATATAATACAATACTGAAAAAAACTTTGAAACTATGAAAGTTTTGCTGAATTTAAATAAAATTCCATGTCTAACAGGTTTCACAACCCTAAATCATTAGCTTGAAACTGTATTATAACACAGTCTTCCATGAGATTAGCAACAGAACTCTAAGGCCTGTAAGACTATGAACTTTCCTTCCTGACAAGACTCAATGCAAAGCAGAACCCAGCCGAGAAAACACTGTCAATCAGACCCTGATCCAGCACCACAGACCACCAGGCTGGGTTTTTAAGGGTGTTAGTCAGGGCACTTACCGAAAGGTGACTTCTGGTACAAGACACTTCACTCCATTGTGGAAGGGTCGAGTAAGAGAAATGGTCTGGCTGACCTGATCCACTGCTGATACTCTTCCTTGATAGACACCCAAGCTTTCGCCACAGTTGATTGACACAATACTGCCTAGCCAATCCATAGCCATATTCCAGACGTGTAGTCACTGTGAAGAGAAGGAAGCATTCAGTGAACCTGGAAGAAAAACTTTCAAACTCAGCAGGTATGTCAGGCTCTGTACTTAGTGGTATTTGATGATGCTCCACCAGAGGTGATAAACATAAAAAAATAAAATAAACAAAACAACTTTGGTAAGAAACAAGGCATAACGGCACACACTTCTGTATTATTTTTTATTTTTGTTTTGAGACAGGGTCTCACCATGTAACTGGCTGGTCTAACACTAGCTACGTATACCTCAAACTCACAGATATGTCTGCCTCTGCCTCCTGAGTGTTGGAGTTAAGGGTATATACCACCATGCCCAGCTGAAAATACCTTTAGTCCCAGTGTTGGGGATGTGGAGGGAAGGCAGAGGCAGGTGGATCTAAGTTGAGGCCGTTGGATCTAAGTTGAGGCCAGCCTGGTCTACACAGAGTTCTAGGTCAGCCAGGACTACACAGTAAGACTGTCTCAAAAACCAAAACCAAAAACCTTTTTCAGTAGAGACATGCAGATTAATAAACAATACTGATATTATGTATACAAAGACCATGTAAACACCAGCCGGTGGGGGCATATGCACTCCAGAGACAGAACCAGGGGGATCTCTGAGTTCGAGGCTAGCCTGGTTTACTGAGTGAGTTCCAGGACAGCCAGGGCTACAGAGAAACCCTGTCTCAAAAAACCGAAACAAGACAAAACAAAGAAAATCAAAACCAAAAAAACAACCCAAAGACCATGCAGTTGTTTTACTGTATGCATTACATATAAAGGTGCAAAATCTTTCAAAAGAGAAGGCTGGGGATGTGGCCCAGCAGTGGAGGAGTATTTGCCTAGCAAGTACAAAGTTCTGGGTTTAATTTTTAGCACCATCAAAACTTAAAAAACTAGAAAGCTGAACAAAAAGGGCTGGAGAGAAGGGTAGGCAGTTAAAAACACTGGCTGCTCTTCCAGAGGAGCCCAGTTCAACTCTCAGCACACACACTGTGGTTCATAATAACTGTTCCAGGGGATCTGATGCCCTCTACCGGCCTCTTCAAGCACACTGCACACATATGATGCGCAGAAATACATTCAGGTAAACACTCAATACACATAAAAATAAAATAAGTTTTTAATTAAATAAATTACTACATACAAAAGACACTTACTTCCTATTCCTGATCAGATTTTGCCTATTTTATGTCAGAGTAGTGTAGCTAGAGTTTTCCTGCCTGGCCCACAGTCAGGACAAATCTCTCTCACCTGCCAGTCCCACAGCCACTCAGACCCGACCAAGTAAACACAGAGACTTATATTGGTTACAAACTGTATGGCCATGGCAGGCTTCTTGCTAACTGTTCTTACAGCTTAAATTAATCCATTTCTATACCTTGCCACATGGCTCGTGGCTTACCAGCATCTTCACATGCTGTTTGTCATCGTGGCGGCTGGCAGTGTCTCTCTCACTCAGCCTTCCACTTCCCAGAATTATTCTCCTCCTTGTCCCGCCTATACTTCCTGCCTAGCCAATGGCCAAACAGTGTTTTATTTATTGACCAATCAGCAACACATTTGCCATACAGAACATCCCACAGCAGAGTAGCATAAATTTTCTCGCCTATCACTTACACCCACTCCATCATAATCCTATTTTGGCACTTGCTTTAGGTATTAGATAGATACATTATAAAAAGCTGTCATAAAAAAAAAAAAGTATGGGTTACCACACCTGGCTATTGGTTGGGCAGTGGTAGCACACGCCTTTTATCCCAGTATTTGGGAGACAGAGCCAGGTAGGATCTCTGTGAGTTCCAGGCTGGTCTACAGAGTGAGATCCAGAACAGGCACCAAAACTACACAGAGAAACCCTGTCTCAGGAACAACAACAACAAAAAAAGCTGTCATAAGAAAACAACAACAACAACTAGAATTTAACCAAAGGGGAAACAGCTTCCTTTTCTTTACCAGTCAACATATATTATTTTTAATGCCCTGGTGTTTTACATTCAAATTTATACTGTGTTAACGAACAAATCAAAATGTTAACACTTTGAAAATGTGACTTTTAGTTGATAAGTGCAGGCTTAATTTATTTTTTATTTTATGTGCATTGCTGTTTTGCCTGTCTGTATGTCTATGTGAGGGTGTCAGGTACCCAGGAACTGGAGTTACAGACAGCTGTGAACTGCCATGTGGGCACTGGGAATTGAACCCGGGTCCTCTGGAAGAGCAGTCAGTGCTCTTAATCACTGAGCTATCTTTCCAGCCCCAAGTGCAGTTCTTTTAATTTGGTTCTATATTAATGTGTAACTGTCCATTTTTACTGGAAATTCTCCTGTAAAATACATTGATATTTTATTGAAAACTCATCAAACAGGTTTATTCTACAAAAAAAGAAATTCCCACTTGGGTGTGGTGATGCATGGTTATAATCCCAGCACTTGGAAGGCAGAACAGGAGGACTGCAGCAAATCTGAGTCCAGCCTGTTTCAGAGTGCAAGTTCCAGACCATCCAGAGCCACACAGAAAAGCCAGGTCTCAAAAGAAGCAAAATAAACAAACCAAAATATCCTAGGCCTGAGCATGTAGCTCAGTGGTGGAATGCTTTCTTGGAATATGTGCCTGGAATTCTGGATCTACTCCCCAACACTACCAAAAACAAAACTTTTTCACTTACACAGATACTAAATATAAATCAAACAGTGTAACCCACTGGACTACTCATCTGAAGACTACTCCAAGGAAATGTGTTTCATTCATTACAAGTCTAAGGCCTCCATGTTAAAAAAAAAAAAAAAAAAAAAGCTACAGCTGAAGCTACAAAAAGACTTGGGGGAAGAGGGGGAGGTCACTGAGTTTCTCTGGGCATCCCTGGCTGTTCTGTAACTCATTCTATAGACCAGGCTGGCCTCGAACTCAGAGATCTGCCTGCCTCTGTCTCCCAAGCACTGGGATTAATGCTACTACACTCAGCTAGCGCTAATTTTTTTTAGGTGTGGTGTGTGTGTTCTGCTGGAGATCAAACCCAGAGCCTGTGCTTGTTGCTAGACATGCTTTGTCACCGAGTTACATCTCTAGCACAAGACAAATCTTGAGACCTTTTATTTTTTACTTTTCCATCTAGTTATAATCCAAGCAAAAGAATACCACTCCACAGTAGAAAAAACAAACAAACACACACCTAAGACAAAGCCTCACTATGTAGCCTGGGCAGGCTCATATTCAAGATTCCCCAGGCTCAGCCTCCTGGGTAATGTCATTACAGCTATGTATCATGACATCTGGTCATCCAAAATTTTCACAGCCATCCCCCCTGGAGCATCGCCCTAACTATCACAAGGGGCTCCATTGGGTCTCTATAAAGGTGCTGCTATTCTGACATCATGAAAGATCCATTTATGCTGTTTTCAAACTGCACAGAAGTTTGAACTGCAGGGTCATGTGCCTGGCTTCCTTCCATCAACAGTACATCTGTGAAATCCAACTGTTGCATGTAGCAAAAGTTGATTATACTGTCTGTAGTTTATTTAGGTACACCTCAATTATTTTAGCGCAGCTACTAAGATAAAGTTGGATTATTTTCAGTTCGGGGTTCCATTTTAAATAACTAACATTTTTACATGTGTTCTTGTTCATATTACACAGAAAATCAGAGTCAAAATTGTATTTGGCTTTATTAGAAACTGCCGCATAGAGTCGGGTATAGTGGTGAACACCTATAATCGCAGTACTCCAGAGGCTGAAGCAACTGGGCCCAAACCGGAGACTGTCTTAGCAATACTCAAACCAATAATCCTTGGTAGTTAAAAAGCCAAGGCCTGATGTGGCACAGGCCTTTAGTTCCAGCACTTAGCAGGCAGAGGCAAGAGGATCTCTGCAAGTTTCAGGGCAGTTTGGTCTGCACAGAACTCTAGGCCAGCCAGAGCTACACAGTGAGACCCTGTCTCCAAAAAAGGTGGTTCTTTGCAACCACTTTTACTTCAGAGAAAACAACTAGGAATTTTGTGCCCAATACATAAAACAAAAACAAAAAACTGGGTTACACCTCAGGGTTCCAAGTGAGATACCAACATCTCAGGGATAGTCATTTGTATTGTGGAAAGAGTAAGGCTTCTCTTAACTCAATTAACTGCAATTGGGAGACTGAAAATCAACTAACAAAGCTGATGAGGACTACTCCTCCAACACTTAAAGCACTGGTCAAGTTTTATTAACAAATGCAGTCACATCACAGAAAGGACTGGTAACTGGAGCAGTACACCGAGGGCAGTCAAGTGTGCGCACTGGCGGGGCATCACTAGCTCTATTTCCACATCCCAGTCTGTCACGTTATCAACCACCATGTGGCACTTGCACTCTTCCTGGCTGTTAACCTCACTGGCCAAAAGGAAATGGACGCAAAGAACAATGAGTGAGTGAGTGGGAGGTGGGTGGGGGGAGACAGACAGACAGGAGAGGGAGGGAGGGAGAGAGAGGGAGGGAGAGAAGGAGAGAGAGGGAGACAGACAGACAGGCAGGCAGAGACAGGAGAGGAGACAGAAGAAGAGGAGAGGGAGAGAGGAGAGGGAGAGAGGAGAGGGGAGAGGAAGAGAGGGAGAGAGAGGGAGAGAGAGAGAGAGAAAATGAGTGCAAGTCGCCTGAGAGAGACCAGGCCGCTAACTGCCATCTCTCTATCTCGGCACTCCCACCTCAAACCCAAATCCTTGGGCTACCTCTACACGTAACCCAGTGAGTACCCCATGCGCGCGCACACACCCCCCCCCAGTTCCTGCCTGCCACACGCATCCTGTCGACACACACACACACACACACACACACACACACACACACACACACACACACACACACACACACACACAACCAGTTCCTGCCTGCCTGCCAATATAAAGCTCTACAAGGCCTGGAAGCCCGCAGCCTAAAAAGCAAACCGAGTTGACCACCCCGGAAGCGCCAGCCAACGAGCCCCGCGAGCACCCGGCCTCCCTCGCGCTCACCTCCCCACCGTCTACCCCAGCCTGGGCGGCACACCACACCAAGCCGATCCCACGACGCCAAAACACCACCAAGGGGCTTCACGCCCACCTCCGCAGTCACAGAAGCAGCCGCCAGCACCGCCGCCGGAAACGCCCCCGCGCCTCACCGACCTGGGGTGATGTCACTTCCGTTAGAGCGTAATAGGCTAGAGCCCGAGGCCTGGGGGCGGGACTCCCCGGATTTTTGAGAAGATGGGGTTGAGGGGAGCGCACAAGAGAAAGAGAGTGGAACTGTACGCGGTAGTTTGTCAATTTGACACAAGCTGGAGTTATCTGAAAGGAGGGAACTGCAATTGAGAAAATGCCTCCGTAAGACCCAGCTATTCGCAAACCTGTAAAGCATTTTTCTTAACTAGTGATAGATGGAGGACGGCCTACCCCATTGTGGGTGGTGCCATCCCTGGGCTGGTGGTCCTGGGTTCTGTAAAAAAGCAAGCTGAGCAAGCCTTGAGGAGCAAGCCAGTAAGCAGCGCTCCTCTATGGGCTCTACAACAGCTCCTGGATCCTCCAGGATCCTGCCCTGTTTGAGTTTCTGTCCTGACTTCCTTCAAGAATAAACAGTGATGTAAAGTATAAGCAAAATAAACCCTTTCCTCCCCAAATTGTTTTTTGGTCATGGTGTTTCATTGCAGCAATAGAAACCCAAACTAAGACAAGTTGGTAACAGGAGTGGGGTATTGCTGTGACAGACCTGATCATTTTTTTGGGAGGATTGTGAAAGGACCTTGGAACTTTGGGCTAGAAAAGCCACAGAGTGTTGAGAGCTCAGGGGGTTGTTCTATAGGAGCTTGGAAGATAACGTTGAGAGTGTTGCAGACGATGGAAGCCTGGCTTGTCAAGTTTCAGAGGGACATTTAAAGACTATCAGGACCACCTGTCATTTTGAATTAAGATTCTGTGGTTCTGGTTAGCTGGGGCTGAAGAATCAGCTTTGATTAACAAGAACTGCTAAAGTGAAACCTTGGCTTTGCTGAGATACTCAATGTTGTTTGGCTGGAACTGAGAAATTAATGGTGCTTAAGAAGAGAACAACATTGTTGAGGTGAAATCTACTGGGAAATGTTTCCTGAGAGCCATCACAGAGAGAAAGAGAGGGGGAGGGGAGGGAGAGAAGGTGTGTGTGTGTGTGTGTGTGTGTGTGTGAGAGAGAGAGAGAGAGAGAGAGAGAGAGAGAGAGAGAGAGAGAGAGAGAGAGAGAGAGAGAGAGAGAGAGAGAGAGAATTTTTGGGCTAGAGAGATTACTGAAGTTAAAAGCACTTGTTGCTCTCCCACAACCATCCATAACTCCAGTCCCAGGAGATCTAACACCCTCTTCTGACCTGTCAGAAAATCACACAAGCTCATGGTGCATGTCTTAGGGTTTCAATTGCTGTGAAGAGACACCATGACCACAGCAACTTTTTTGAGACAGGGTTTCTCTGTGTAGTTTTGGTGCCTGTTCTGGATCTCACTCTGTAGACCAGGCTGGCCTTGAACTCACAGAAATCTGCCGGGCTCTGCCTCCTGAGTGCTGGGATTAAAGGCATGAGCCACCACTGCTCAGCACACAGCAACTCTTATAAAGGAAAACATTTAATTGGGTGGTGGTATGTGATTTTTTTTGTGTGTTCTGACAAATAAGCTTGCCTGAAGATCAGAAGGTGGAACTAGCCACTAGTTAACCATTGAGACCAGGCAGTGGTGGCACAAGCCTTTAATCCCAGCACATGGGAGGCTCATGCCTTTGATACCAGCACCTGGGAGGTGGAGACAGGAATATAAGATGGCTAGGGACAGGATCTCAGCTTTCCATGTGCTGGTATCAGAGGCATGATCCTCCCTAGTGCTGGGATTAAAGGTGTAAGCCACTACTGTCTGGCCTCTATGGTTAACTAGTGGCTACCTCCACCCTGATAATGGTTCAGTCTATTATCATTATGGTAGGACATGGCAGTAGGCAGGAAGACATGGTGCTGGATAAGGAGCTGAAAATTCTACATCTTTAATCCACAGGCAACAGGAAGTGATCTGTGTCTGTGACACTGAAAGTAGCTTGAGCATATCAAACCTCAAAGCCCACCCCCACAATGATGCACTTTCTCCACCAAAGCCACATCTCCTGTATTAGTCAGAGTTCTCTAGAGTCACAGAACTTATGAAATGAATCTCTCTCTCTCTCTCTCTCTCTCTCTCTCTCTCTCTCTCCTCTCTCCCTCTCTCCATATATATACGTGTATATATATATATATATATATATATATATATATATATATATATATATATACGTATATATATGGGAATTTATTGGAATGACTTACAGGCTGCGGTCCAACAATGTCTGGCTGTGAATGGAAAGTCCAAGAATCTAGTAGTCGTTCAGTCCACAAGACTGGGTGTCAGCTTATCTGTACACGCTGGAATCCCAAAGAAGCAGGCTCCAATGCCAGTGAAGGAATGGATGTGCTGACCAGGTGAGAGCAAGCAGGCGAAGAAGGAATAAACCCTATTCCTTCTTCCCTGTCCTTATATAGGCCTCCAGCAGAAGGTGGGGCTCAGATTAAAGGTGTGCCTTCAAGCCTCAAGGTCTGGATTAAAGGCTTGTATCATCCGGCCTTAAGATCCAATCAAAGGTGTGCTGTCTTCTTGCCTCAAAATCCAGATCACAAGTGTGCCCTCCATTTCTGGATTATAGTTCATTCCAGATATAATCAAGTTGATAATCAAGAATAGCCATTATACCTCCTAATAATAGTACCACTCCCTTTGGGGGCCATTTTCTTTCAAACCACCACAGTGCACATATATACATGCAGGCAAAACATCCAATATGCATAAAATATATCTTTAAAAAATTAAATTTTTATGAGCTCATGGATTCAAACACACTTGAGGGGTTTTAATTTTGTGGGAAAAAAATTTAAGTCAGTGTCTTGCTGTGCAGCCCTAGCTAGACTTAAACTCAAAGCAATCCTCCTGCCTGAGTTTTCAGATTAGACATGTGGCACCATACCCAGTAGAAATTACTATCAATACTCAAACTGTCCTATCTTCAGGAGTTGAAACCTGTTAAAGCTTGTTCCAGAGTGATTCAATCCATTCCTGGAATCTTTGTAGCATCTTTACCATCTGGCATGACCAAGTGTTCCAGGATTTTTTTTTTAACTACATCTTCTGTCCCAGATTTGTGAGCAATTGTTTTCCTAAGAAGTCCTGTGTCACAGTCTGGGTATTAGGAAGTTAGAATGCTCATTTCTGTGAGCTGGCCATTGCCTTTAAGATCTGGGATGTTAGCCAGGTGTGTTAGTACATGCTTGCAAATCCCAGCAGTCAGAAGGCTGAGACTTGAAGATCAAGACTTGGAGCCAGTCTGGACTACAAATTGAGACCCTGTATCCAAAAACAAACAGATCTCAGAAGTTGATAGACAAGTAGATAGAGATGCATCATACTGGTTGAACTTAATCACTTCTATGTAACAACAGTCTCTTCTTTTTTCTATATTCTAAACTCCTAGCTCCTCAAGATAAAGGGGATGATGAATTTGAACACCATTATCAATTGCTCATTTGTTTATCCCTTCATACTATAATCTCAAGAGAGCAATAATAATGTCACCATCACCAAGGCAATATCTGAGAATGGTTACATAAATTGTTTTTTTTTTCTTTGTTTGTTGCTTGCTTGGTTGGTTGGTTTTTCAATACAGGTTTTCACTGTGTAGTGCTGGCTGAACTGAAACTCACTCAGAGATCTGCCTGTCTCTTAAAGGTGTATGTGGCCACCTCCTGGCTCATGAATTGTTTTACACATGCTGTCCAAATTCCTTAGTTTGAAAATGGTATTGTAGTGGTATTGTGTTCCCCAAAATATTGTACACCCTAATAAACTTTTCTGGGGTCAGAGACAGAACAGCCACAATATTAAACATAGAGGATAGGCAGTGGTAACACACGCCTTTAATCCTAGCATTCCAGAGGTAGAAATCCCTCTGGATCAAGGCCACATTGGAAACAGCCAGGCATGGTGACACACGCCTTGAATCCCAAGAAGTGAGCCTTTAATCCCAGGAAGTGATGGCAGAAGGCAGAAAGGTATATAAGGCATGAAGACCAGGAACTAGAAGCATTTGGCTGGTTAAGCTTTCAGGCTTTCGAGCAGCACAGTTCAGCTGAGATTCATTCTGGATGAGGACTCAGAGGCATCCAGTCTGAGGAAACAGAATCAGCTGAGGAACTGGCAAGGTGAGGAAGCTGTGGCTTGTTCTGCTTCTCTGATCTTCCAGTTCACCCCAATAACTGGCCTCAGGTTTGATTTTTATTAATAAGTACCTATAAGATTCATGTTACATCTGGCGCCCAACGTTTGTGGTACGAATTCTGGAAAAAGTCACTTGCCTGTGGCCTTTCGGGCCCCAGCTCAGACCTAAGCTACACGTTGCCAATTGTGGTGGCACACCGCACGCCGGCAGGATTTGCTGAAGGAGGGAGAGGCAGGAGGATCCCGAGTTTGAGACCAGCTTGGGAGGCTTGCTAAGGAGAAGCTACGGCTGATGGGGGAACTAGCTACAAACGGTGCCAGTGGGACCATGGAGTCAGTGGCTGCTGCTCTGAGGCTTCTTCTCATCGTGTTGGTGACTGCGATGATGCTGCTACCTGGGACAAAGGGTTTACTGCTACTTGTTCGGAGAAGAATTGACAGGACCATTGTATTACCAAAAAACATCGGCAAAAGGTCAGTTTAGAAAAGTTTGACAAGACAAATGGTGGGGAGAAATTGCTGTGAACATTTTCTTTTCTAGGGAAGAACGTTTATGGTTCCGAGAGCAGACATTTATCGGACTGTGATTGCTCCAAACCACAGAGGAGGCCAAAAAAAAAAAAAAAAAATCTGCAAGGAACCATGACCACGCCTAACAGCGACTTTGAAATCTTCAAAAGGAAGACGGGACTCCACAAAGATGATTCTACATGGACTATGGTGTGTTGCTATTGTGTTCCCCAAAATATTGTGTACCCTAATAAACTTATCTGGGGTCAGAGAACAGAATAGCCACTAGATACTTAGGATAGGCAGTGGTAGCACACGCCTTTAATCCTAGCATTCCAGAGGCAGAAATCCATGTGTTCAAGCCAAGTATGGTGACTTTCGCCTTTAATCCCAGAAAGCAAGCCTTTAATCCCAGGGAGTGGTGGTAGAAAGCAGAAAGGTATATAAGGCGTGAGGACCAGAAACTAAAAGCTTTTAGCTGGTTAAGCTTCAGGCTTTCCAGCAGCAGTTCAGCTGAGAGCCATTGGGATGAGGACACAGGAGCTTTCAGTCTGAGGAAACAAGACCAGCTGAGAAGTTGGCCAGGTGAGGTTAGCTGTGGCCCATTCTGTCTCTCTGATCTTCCAGTGTTTACCCCAATAACTGGCCTCAGGTTTGATTTTATTAATAAGAACTTTTAAGATTCCTGCTGCACTATGGGAAAATCATTAAGCTGATTAACAGCACCAAAAGATCGACTTTGGACTACAAACTGTTTAGGACAGTTTCAAGATGGCTAGCTGAGATGATCCAGCCTGACAGACTACTTGAACAAGGACTTGAAACAAGCCCTGCACTTTCTCATTATGCAGCGACTGGACAAATGATACAGGACTTGACAATTAACCCAAAATTTTTCTTTTCAGGATTCCCTAAAGATATCTTCACCCCCAGAAAGCAGGAAGTAATTTTAAGAAAACAATGCCCACATTCCTAAGAGGTGGGATGGGAGGTTTTTGGTCATTTAATGAGTTTTGGATATTGTCATTGTTTACAATGGTTGGTTAAAAGTTGTTGATTGTTAATGGTCAGGAAAAAAGCTGAACATGGAGATTAGATTCAGAGGTTTTGTTTAAAAAAAAGAGAAAAAGAAAGAAGAGAATATAGATATGAGGTAGATCATTGACTCTACTCTAAGAAAAAAAGATAAAGAAATAATAGGATAAATGGGTAGATAATTTATCTACACTGAAAAAGTGTACATGAATCTACACTGAAAAGAAAAGGGGGAAGATATAAAAATGACAAAAGGTAGATTATTGAAACTTTTATGAATAGAAAAAAGAGAGAATATGAATATAAGATAAAAAGGTTAATTTTTTAATCTACTTTTAAAAAGGAACTACTTGTTTTAAATAAGATAAGTAATGAAAATTTCTTGTCTTGAGTTTATCAAATGTTACTGGACTGGACATTGTTATATATTAATGGAGTTTTTTGTCTGAATCTGTCAAATGTTAATGGACTAGACATCGTTAATGTAATCTTGACTGTGTATATTGTGTATACTTATTGGATATAATTTTTCTTGTATTAGGTATAAGCTTTTTTAAATTTTGGACAAAAAAGGGGAAATGCAGTGGTAGTGTGTTCCCCAAAATATTGTACACCCTAATAAACTTTTCTGGGGTCAGAGACAGAACAGCCACAATATTAAACATAGAGGATAGGCAGTGGTAACACACGCCTTTAATCCTAGCATTCCAGAGGTAGAAATCCCTCTGGATCAAGGCCACATTGGAAACAGCCAGGCATGGTGACACACGCCTTGAATCCCAAGAAGTGAGCCTTTAATCCCAGGAAGTGATGGCAGAAGGCAGAAAGGTATATAAGGCATGAAGACCAGGAACTAGAAGCATTTGGCTGGTTAAGCTTTCAGGCTTTCGAGCAGCACAGTTCAGCTGAGATTCATTCTGGATGAGGACTCAGAGGCATCCAGTCTGAGGAAACAGGATCACCTGAGGAATTGGCAAGGTCAGGTAGCTGTGTCTTGCTCTGCTTCTCTGATCTTCCAGTTCACCCCAATAACTGGTCTCAGGTTTGATTTTTATTAATAAGTACCTTTAAGATTCATGCTACATGTTTTTTTTTCCTACCATTTTAACCTGCACAATTCATTGTTTTGTTTTTTTTAATGAAGATTTACTTTTTGTAGGTATGTGAGTATTGGGGAGGGCATATGCACGTGTTGGGGGTGGTGTGCATCTAGGTGCCCAGAGATACCAGAAGAGGGTGTCAGTTCCCCTGGTGTTGGAGTTACAGGCAATTGTGAACTGCCCTACGAGGGTGCTGAGAATGAAACTTGGGTCCTCTGGAGGAGCATCGAGAACTCTGAACTGCTGAGCCATCTCTCTAGGCCTCCTTGGTTTGCTGCTGTAGGTTTTATTTTTAGAATACTCACAAAGTTATACAATTATCACTCCTAGCTTTAGAATACCTTCCCAATTTTGGAAGAGACCCTTTACCTCCTGTAAGATGAATTGCTAAATGGTCTTATTAATAAAAAACCCAGAGCCAGATATTGGGGTGAAAACTGAGAGATCAGAGGAATAGGACAAGCCACAGACAACCTCACCTCACCAACTCCTCAGCCTCCAACCTACTTTCTGTATACTCACGCCTATATGCCTTTCTGTCCCTGCCATCTCACTTCCTCTCTCTGCCCAGCTACATCACTTCCTCTTTCTGCCCAGCTGTCACTTCCTGTCTGTCTGTACAGACCTCAAGACCTCCCTGGTTAGTGCTGGGATTAAAGGCATGTGCCACCATGCCTGGATCTGTTCCCAGTGTAGCCTCCAACTCACAGAGATCCGGATGGATCTCTGCCTCCCGAATGCTAGGATTAAAGGCATGTGCTAGAAATCGCCTGACTTCTGTATTTACTATAGTGGCTGGCTTTTTCCTCTGATCCTCAGATAAGTTTTATTGGGGTACACAGATAAAATATCACCACAACCTCCCAATTCCCTTTGCCCTGTGTTCCCTGATAATCACTAACCTAATTTCCAACTCTATTTGCCTACTCTGGATAGTTTATAGGCTCCTCTATATTATAGCGGATAATACAAATTTGTTTGCTGTTTCCAAGCAGGATCTCATGTATTCCAGGCTGGCTGCAAACTTTCTGTAGCTGAGAGTGATGTTTAACCTCTGACCAACCTGTCTTGATCTCCTGCTTGCTAGAATTACAGGTGTGTGCTACCACAGGAACTCAAGGCTTTGGCATGCTGGACAACTCTCAACTGAGTTACATTTCCTGCTCCAAAGTTTTTGTTTATTTGTTTGTTTTGTTTTTTGTTTTTGTTTTTAACAAAAATGTAAGATTGGTAACTGGGCACCATTGTTCCCTCTGACTTTGGTTTGCTCCTTATGGTGGCCTGAAGCTCTTGGTGAATGGAAACTATCTACTCCAATCAGAAAGCATGAACGGTAACTGCTAGCCACTACGAGCTGTTTGAGAAGGAAGTTGAGTGGGGTGATACTAGGAAGGGTCACATCCCAAGATGCAGGTCCTCTTGGCATGCTAGTCACTGGAACTTCTGGTTGTATGGGTCTGGCATTCACCCCTACTGGACACTGCCACAGACATTTCTGAGGGATGAGGCTTTCTGCATTGAAATGTGAGCCCCTCAAGAGATGGCTTCTCATCCTTAAGGAGGGCTCTGTTCAGATGCCTCCCAAAGACCTAGGGCCCCAGCATCCCTCCTCACCTAGCTCCATCACCAGCTCTAGAACCCAAGTTCCCTATGCAGGACTAGTAAAGCCCTGGTTACCACGAATTAGATAATGTGCTTATGGATCAGACCTTTCCACCAGCTTTGGGGGCTTCTGAAAGCAGCCTTTTGTTTAGCGTTCAAGAGAATATACTCCATCAGTGTGTGACAAGTTAGAGAGTCAGACACCACTGACACTCTGCCTGAGAGTAGTCCTTCACCTCTCCATCGCCACTCTTCTCTTCCCCATGAGAAAACACAGAGGAAGACTGAGCTCAAGGTGTGAATGTGGCTTAACTTCAGGTTGAAACCTTTCCACATGGCTGAGCAGTGGTGGCACATACCTTTGATCCCAGCACTCAGGAGGCAGAGGAAGGTGGATCTCTGTAAGTTCAAGGCTAACCTGGCCTATGGAGCAAATTCTAGAACAGCTAGAGCTGTTACACAGAGAAATTCTGTCTCAAAAAACAAAACAATAACAAAAACATCTTCATGTGTAGTACTTCCAGGTAATATTTTATTTATTATAGGTATTTCCTATATATTTCTAGATACTTGAGTTAGGGTTTTCTCTGTGGCATTAAATGCATTGACCTACAGCTCTTAAGATATGACTAATAAAGCTGGGCGGTGGTGGCACACGCCTTTAATCCCAGCACTCGGGAGGCAGAGCCAGGCGGATCTCTGTGAGTTCGAGGCCAGCCTGGTCTCCAAAGCGAGTTCCAGGAAAGGCGCAAAGCTACACAGAGAAACCCTGTCTCGAAAAACCAAAAAAAAAAAAAAAAAAAAAGATATGACTAATATAAATGCATAAGCAAAATACAGGCCAAAAAAAGGTCGTATGTACAAACTTTTATATTTTTTTGTTTTGTTTTGTTTTTTGTTTTTTCAACACAGGGTTTCTCCATATAGTTTTGGTGCCTGTCCTGGATCTCGCTCGGTAGCCCAGGCTGACCTCAAACTCACAGAGATCCGCCTGGCTCTGCCTCCCAAGTGCTGGGATTAAAGGTGTGCACCACTGCTGCCTGGCTGTACAAACATTTTTTTAAAAAGATTTATTTATTTATTATGTACACAGCATGTATGACTGCAGGTCAGAAGAGGGCACCAGATCTCATTACAGATGCTTGTGAGCCACCATGTGGTTGCTGGGAATTGAACTCAGGACCTCTGGAAGAGCAGTCAGTGCTCTTAACCTCTGAGCCATCTCTCCAGCCCCCAAACATTTTTTAAATGAACATTTTATACAGTAAAGAAGAGAGACCAAGAGATGATATAGTGGTCTGTATACTAGTACTCAGAAGGTTGGTAAAAGAAGAAAAAGAATATGGAATTCAAGGCCATCCTTGGCTACATAGCAAGTTCAGAGGCAGTGTAGGCTACACAA